GGGGAGTGTTGTACATGCTGCTATGGCGGTGTGTCCACTCACAAGATGAGTGGCGCTGCCCAATAAACTCGCCCCTCGGGGCAAAATTAAAAAAAAAAGTGTATGGAGTCAGCCTCCCCACATTATTTCCTAGTGCATTCCATTTACTAACTACTCTGGCACTGAAAACGCTCTTTCTAATGTCTATGTGGCTCATTTGGGAACTCAGCTTCCACCTGTGTCCCCTTGTGCGTGTACCATCCGTGTTAAATAATCCATCCTTGTCTACCCTGCCAATTCCCTGAGAATTTTGTATGTGATGATCATGTTGCTGTTGTTGTTATAGATTCAGCTACTCGGAACAAGCTCCAAGTAGCACGGGCTATGGTAAGCCCATAACTTACCTACACAGGAGCGGGGCAAGAAGCACGGGCTATGGTTAGCCGATGATTATGTCTCCCCGAGCTCCTTTGTCTTCCAGCAACGTGAGGTGCAGTTCACTCAGCCTTTCCTCGTAACTCATGCCTCTTAGTTCTGGGACTAGCCTAGTGGCATACCTCTAAACTTTTTCCAGCTTCGTCTTGTGCTTGACAAGGTACGGGTTCCATGCTTGGGCTTCATGCAGGCGATGAGTCACAATAACGTGACAAGTATGTTGACCAGACCACACACTAGAAAGTGAACGGACGACAACGTTTCGGTCCCTCCTGGACCATTCTCAAGTCGATTGTGACTCACAATCGATTTAACTTGAGTTGAGAATGGTCCAGGACAGACCGAAACGTCGTCGTCCCTTCACTTTCTAGTGTGGGGCTTCATACTTCAGGATTCGCCTTACATACGTGGTATACAAGGTTCTACAAGAAGCCTTACAAAGGTTTATTCTTTTGATGTGGGCTTCAGGAGACAGGTTTGGCGTGATGCTGTGTGCTTCCCGGAATATTCCCTGAAGATATTTGAAGGATCTCTGGGGTGCCGTACTTGTCGCACTTGCTCTGATGTGAACGGGAGAGTGGGAAGTTATCAGCTGAGATCTGGGTTACCTGGTTGATACCTGGTTGATAGGGTTCTGGGAGTTCTTCTACTCCCCAAGCCCGGCCTGAGGCCAGACTTGAGTTGTGAGAGTTTGGTCCACCAGGCTGTTGCTTGGAGCGGCCCGCAGGCCCACATACCCACCACAGCCCGGTTGGTCCGGCACTCCTTGAAGGAAACAATCTAGTTTCGTCTTGAAGATGTCCACGGTTGTTCCTGTAATATTTCTGATGCTCGCTGGTAGGACGTTGAACAACCGTGGACCTCTGATGTTCATATAGTGTTCTCTGATTGGCCTATGGCACCTCTGCTCTTCACTGGTTCTATTCTACATTTCCTTCCATGTCGTTCACTCCAGTACGTTGTTATTTTACTGTGCAGATTTGGGACCTGTCCCTCCAGTATTTTCCATATGTATTTTATTTGGTATCTCTCGTCTCCTTTCTAGTGAGTACATTTGGAGAGCTTTGAGACGATCCCAATAATTTAGGTGCTTTATCTCGTCTATGCATGCCGTATATGTTCTCTGTATTCCCTCAATTTCAGCAATCTCTCCTGCTCTGAAGGGGGAAGTGAGTACTGAGCAGAACTCAAGACGGGACAACACAAGTGATTTGAAGAGTACAACCATTGTGATGGGATCTCTGGACTTGAAGGTTCTCGTAATCCATCCTATCATTTTTCTGACTGGGTCCCTCCATCTGGTACACGGATTTCACGTTCCACCTCAAAACCTCTTTGCCGCAGACGGCCGGCTACGAACCGAGTGAAATTGTCATGACGTTACACCCAAGCCCTATGTGTCTTGTAGCATGCCTGGGATATGTGGCCCAGGATCTCTGGTTTCTGGCAAGCATCGCAGAGACCAGAAGCCTCGTGTGTATCCCTAGCTGCTCTAGACGGAGCGGCTACAGCGTTTGCCCTGATCTGGATGGCATGAGCAAAATCTCCTCCGTTTAGCAGACGGATACCGGATGCGACCCACTTGTGGCAGGAAGGAACCTCACAAGTGGACGCAAGGCCGGCACCATCAATCATGCTGTACAGTTTTGCTTTCCACCTTCTAGAGCGCTCAGTCGTTCTGTTAGAAGGGGTTCCGGCGGCCGTGGTCAGGTCTACCCATCGACGCATTCGCGCTTGGAACGCGGGTAGGAGAGCTGCTGCCACTACCACTGGGTCCTCCGACTCTACCAACGCCCCGAGCCTCTTGTTCTTCAGTAGGCAGATAGATGTGGCAAAGTTGGGAATTCCTAGTCCACCGTCTTTCACGTCGGCATGAAAGAAGGCATTAGAGGTATCATGAGGTAGTCGTAGCCAGCCACGAATGGCGTGCCGCAACCGCCTGTCAAGCCTCGCCAACTCCGTCTTAAACACGCGTCCGAGAACAAGTCGGTGGTTCATCTTGGGAATTAGGTGGTGTTTTAGTAGGTATAGCCTCCGTTGGGGTTTGAGGGGGGGGGGCTGGGTGATGTTAGTCAGGCCGTCCTCAAACAGGGAACCCATATAGGATAGGTGTCTGCCCCCGGCCCCGATAAGTACTCTTAAGTACTTGTACTCATCCGCTACACTCACTCATAGTACCAATTTCATCGTCCCCGACGTAGTATGCCCTCCTGGTGGGGACATGTCAAGTCTTACGATGCGCATCGATTGCTATGCTTAGCGTACGGCACTTCGCAACATTTACTTTAAGACCAAAGTTACGCAGTGTGTGGTATATACTTGTTATCAGTTTCTGTAGTCCGGCAGCCGTCTCTGCTGCCACAACCAGATCGGCAGCGAAGGCCAGGGCTGATACCTTTTCGCCTCCATCCCCCAGTCCAGCCCCTAGCCCAAGTTCTTGCCTCATCAATTATTAGGTTAAAGAGAAATGGAGACCGGGGTCACCCTGTTTCACCCCCCTAGTGATCAGAATGTCCTTCGACTTCTCCCCTTGGCTGGTTATTACGATTGAGAACCGATCATAGCCCGACATGATATATGTCCTTAAAGGCTTTGGAATGCCTTTACGTTTCATGGCCGGATGGGAGACGCTATCGAAAGCCTTGTCCATATCCAGACACGCTAGGTGCGCGTTGTGCTTGAGCGCACGAGCCTCAGTTAGGGGGGCATCCAGGATCAGCAGGTTTTCAGGACACCTGTCCACAGGGACGAAAGTTTTCTGCCGCCTGTCGATCCCTGACTGCCCCGGAGAGTCTGCTGCTCAGAATCTTATGGAACAGCCTCACTCTCGTAGATGACATGATTATGGGGCGATAGTGGGAAGGAGAGTCTGGGTTAGGTTTCTTAGCTAACAGCACTGTCTTATTATTGCGAAAAGGTTGTGGCAGGGATTCGTTTACCAACCACAGATTAAACAACTTTGCAAACATCCTGATTGGTATAGACTTGAGTAAACGTATAGTAATACCGTCTGGGCAGGGAGCAGCATTACTACTTGCAATGCTAGAAGAGCAACAAGAATTTCCTCCGGTGTTATAGGGTCCCCTAGTTGCTGATTAACTGGATCACGGTCACGAGTTGGGCAGCGGTCCGGTGATGTAGGTCTAGAGAAGAGTGTCTCCCAGAATGGAAAGAGACGAGCTGGCTCCACCTCAGTGGGGGTTACTTTAATTCCAGTCTCCGGAGAGGACGCGCGCAGCGGCCTTGGAACGATCCTTCTCGTACAGGCTCTGACACAGAATTAATGTACTGTGTTCTTCGCTCCCTTTTTCGTCCGGTCGGAGGTTGGGTTGGATCGGCACGATTAATCAGTGGAAGTCTGTGTCTATGCGTAGAGCGAGGGCGCGGTCACCAGATCTTTGGCAGAAGTAAAAAAAAGTAACCACTCGAGCATGGCTTTCAAGGATTCTATCCACGTTATGGCCGTTATCACTGACCAGGGCAGTGATTGTTTCATCAAGGAATTCCCCCCCCCCCATTCAGTTTCCTGGCCCCTGGGTGCAATAGCTGCAAGGAATTCCACCATAGTTTCCTTCCAAGAAGCTTCCTGGGGGGTCCTGTCAGGGGAGGGGGGCATGTCAGGTTCAGCGCCATCGGGGGCGCCCACCGCCGCCCTGATATTGCCTCTCCGTCTACGATTCCCTAATGGGCTAGGCTGCTCGTCCTTCCTGTCTGAGTTAGACAGTGAAGACTCTGAGGCCTCGCCTTCCGAACGATTTCTGTATTCCACCACTAATTCTTTGTACTCGGTCCTTTTCCTTTGACTCTTAATGGACTCCAAGGTTCGCAAAGGAAAGCGCTGGCGCAGGCTCTGGTTCATACCTCCCCGGCTTGCCTGGGGTCTGACTTCCAGCCTCAACTCTTCCATTGGCAGGAGGTGTTTCTCCTCATCGGTCCATCTCACTTTGGGCCTACCTGCTCTACTCGCGGCCTCTTCGAGTTCCTGATGGTATTGGACTCGGTGTATGCGGCTCAGTTGCATTCGTCTCGGAAGGTTCTGCCACAAATTGGAAAGTCTGGCGACCGGTCATTCATAACCGGATCGTCATGTAGGTCACCCAATTTAAATTAATAAAACGTGATACCACCTATGGTGTTTATTTTCACCCGACGCACAAAATATAACAAATTCAAATTTCAAATTCAAATTCAAACATTGGCGTTCATTACATTGGTGTTCTTACATTGTTGCAAAGCCACTAAGAGGCAATTTCTTCAAAAGGTCAGATGTAACACAAACAAGGACCAACGGTTTCGAACTCAACAAGCCTCAATGTAGGACAAAGAACAGGATATGTTTTTTTTTTACCCACAGGGTTATAAACCCATGGAACCGCCTACCTGCCGAATCCATAATGCCCAAACTCTGTTAACTTTTAAAGTACAGCTGAAAAGGATCAAGGCAATGGGGAAACCTTTGACAAGCCGCCGGCTTCCTGTCCTCGTTGAGACCACTAGTGTTAGTGGCTCTCAGGTAAATTCAGGAAAAGTTTAGTGTTTTGTGCGTTCGATGATGTTTGTGGTCGTTAGGATGTGTCGTGTTTATCCCGGCGGCGTCGGTCTTATAAAGCACACATTATGTCCATCACATCACTCATCTTCATTTATTATCTATATGCCTGTTGAGTAGAAGATTTTAACTGTTAATAGCGTTATATTGTAGTTTTAATATTGTCCAACCACGTGTATAGGCAGCGTAGAGATGTGTGTGGTATGGTGAGTGTTGGTGTGAGAGGCAGTGTTGTGGAGGAGAGTGGAGGGAGCACACGCCGCCGAGGACGCCTCCACCACACACACACACACCACACACCTGCACCTCAACACTGGCCTAGCACCTGAGCACTCACCACACAAGGTGCCCCCAGAGTGACAGTTAACCAGAAGCGTGTGAGAGCCGTGCGGGGAGGCGTGTGTGGAGGAAGATGACCTCGGGTCGTGCCAGGGTTCAGGTGCTCAACCTGCCTGACGAAGAGAGTGATGAGCTCAGGATAACACCATTGTAAGAATATCTCCATAGTTTATGGCTTTCTCTTAGTAGCCGGGCCACCGACGGTGTCTTAACACTCAACTAGAGGCTAGACACGTGTAGTCTTAACAGTCATGCATTAGAATTTAAATTTTATTTTTTAATTGTCCCCCTAAGGGCGAGTTTACTGGGCAGGGCCACTCATCATGTGAGTGGACACAAGACCACTGCAGCATGTACAACACCCCCCCCCCCCAGTAGGAATTGACAGTTGAGAGCCGGGCCCAAAGAGCCAGAGCTCAACCTCCGCAAGCACAATTAGGTGAACGCAGCTGGGACTTGTTGAACTGTCTCAAGTGAACAGTTTATCCAACAAGAAGATTAACATTTACCAACCCCTTAACTTACGCTATCTTGTAGGTGCAAAGTGAAGGAATCTTTTTAAGAACAGTATCTATATTTGACAGATAGTATTTTCCTAACTCAAACAATGTGGGGTTTGAACAAATGTGGGGTGTATTATGCTTCACTATTTCTGATGTCTCCTACAAGTTCACATTCCCTCGGGTAGTGGTCAAGGCGGCGACCACTACTCTCGCCACATGTTCTGCAGCTCCGCTTCTCGGCCGTTGTTTCCATCATGAATCTCCATGGGTACTTGTATCCAAGATGAATTCTTGCTATTACTGATTCTATCCCGTGGCTACCTCCCCTTCATCCATAATGATGGGATTGCCAGCTGCAACCACATTGTACCAGCTTACAAATTCACCAATTTTTTTCTAATACTGTACCCTCCTTTCCTCGGTTACCGTGTCATGGTGATGCCTAATAATATTGTACCTCTAATTTCTATAAGTCTTGGGTATGAAGTATTCAATATGGTGTTCTTCAGCGCCTTCAGCAGCCAGCACATCTGCTCGTTCATTTCCACACATTCCAACATGGGAGGAGATCCACAGGAATTTTACCACTCTTCCCTGATTGGTTAATAATCTCGCAGCTCTCTTGAGTTCACCAACTCGTGAGGTTTTCTGCCTGTTTTTGACTAAGGCTTTGTAGTGCTGCTTTTGAATTGGTGCAGATCACTGCATGATTAGTGTTTCTTTCAGCGAATCTTAATGCCATAACAATGGCCGTTAGCTCAGCTTGCACTGAAGAAGCATAATTCTCAATACAGTATGTGCTTTTACTTTATTTCAGTTTTAAAAGGCATTATTCCTAATTACTGTTGCATGTAGCTCCAACCCTGCCATTAGGATTAGATGACCGATAGTTTAGATTTGATCTAATTCATTTCCAGCTTCTTTATAAATTTCCTCAAGATATTTATGCCTCATTTCTTGTGGTATCATGTTGGATTTTTTCATTATTATTGCATTTATAATAATCCTGCATGGGATTCTACAGGCATGAGTTCACTGGCTTGCTCAAGAAGGTGAAGTTTTTCGAGGCAGCAGACTAACCTGTGATGCCATTTTTTGCTTTTCCTGTTTCCTTCAGTGAGTAGCACAGAACTCTGCTTTTTCTTGGCAATATCATTGTAATTATTTATTTATTTATTTATTTATGCATATACAAGAATGTACATAAGGAATGTGAGGATACAAATATGGTAATTACAGTCTTGTAAAGCCACTAGCACGCGCAGCGTTTCGGGCAGGTCCTTAATCTAAGAAAATTTTAAGGAGGTAAATACTTGCAAAGTTTATAGACAAAAAAATGAAAACAGATTACATGGAATGAAAAAAAAAGAAGATGAGAGAAAATTATAGGTACAGTATATTAAAGCACATAGGTAGCTATGATTGATTGCAATGACAGCTTAAAATGGTAGTTGACAACAAATTGGTAGGCACAATACAGCAGAAACAATATATGATTGATTGCAATGACAGCTTGAATGGTAGTTGACAAAAATTGGTAGTCACAATACAGCATATGGCTAGCACATAAAAGAAGACAGCAATGAACACAATGATAAGGTTGTTTGATATTACATAAAAATTAGGAGATTGGGTAACACTAGGTACAGAGCAAATTTAAAGCTCGGTGTAGGAAACTAAATAGATGAAGTTAGGTACTTTTTGGTTTTGCTTTTAAATAAGGCAAAAGTTTTACAGTTTTTCAATTCACTAGGGAGTGAGTTCCATAGACTAGGTCCCTTAATTTGCATAGAGTGTTTACACAGATTAAGTTTGACCCTGGGGATATCAAAGAGATATTTATTTCTGGTGTGGTGATAATGGGTCCTATTACATCTGTCCAGGGAGAGTTTCAGAGCATGGTTTGCATTTAAGAACAGGGTTTTGTAAATGTAGTTGACACAAGAGAATGTGTGGAGGGAGTTAATATTTAGCAAGTTTAGGGATTTAAACAAGGGAGCTGAGTGTTGTCTGAAAGCAGAGTTAGTTATTATTCTGATAGCAGATTTTTGCTGTGTGATGATGGGCTTAAGGTGGTTTGCAGTGGTAGACCCCCATGCACAGATACCATAATTAAGATAGGGGTAGATTAGTGCATAATATAGTGAGAGGAGAGCAGAGTTAGGAACATAATATCTGATTTTGGAGAGTATACCAACTGTCTTAGAGACTTTCTTAGTTATGTGTTGAATGTGGGTGCTGAAGTTGAGTCTCTTGTCTAGGAATAGGCCAAGAAACTTGCCATCATTTTTATTACTGATGTTAATGTTGTCTATCTGTAGCTGAATTGCATTTGATGATTTGCTTCCAAATAAGATGTAGTAAGTCTTTTCGATGTTTAATGTTAGTTTGTTCGTTGACATCCATAAGTGGACTTTTTTTAATTCATTATTCACAACATTATTTAGTGTATGTGGGTTGAGGTTTGAGTAGATAAGGGTAGTATCGTCAGCAAACAATATAGGTTTGAGAATATTAGAGACATTAGGCAGATCGTTTATATATATAAGAAATAGAAGAGGTCCTAAGATGCTGCCCTGTGGCACTCCAACGGTAATTGGTAGAGTGGAAGAAGTTGTATCATTGATGGTTACATATTGGTGTCTGTCACTAAGATAGGATCGGATGTAGTCAAGGGCAAGGCCTCGGATTCCATAATGCTGGAGTTTAAGTAAGAGGTAGTTGTGATTAACAGTATCAAAGGCTTTTCTTAGGTCAATGAAGAGTCCAATCGGAAACTCATTTTTGTCAAGGGCTGAGTAGATAATGTCAAGGAGACTAATGATTGCATCATTGGTGCTCTTTTGGGACCGGAAGCCAAACTGGCAGGGGCTGAGTATGTCGAATTTTACGAGGTAGGAATAGAGCTGTTTGTAAATAATTTTTTCAAATATTTTTGATAGAATGGGTAGATTTGATATTGGTCTATAATTGTTTATGTCCGCCGGATTGCCTCCTTTATGGACTGGCGTTACTCTTGCTTTTTTGAGGATATCAGGGAAGGTGTGATACTCTATAGATTTGTTGAACAGTAGTGCTATGGGTGGGGCAAGGGCATGGGAGGCTCTCTTGTACACAATGGACGGAATTTCACTGGTGTTCCCTGCCTTGGTTTTTAGAGAATGTATGATGGACACAACATCTGCCGGGCTGATTGGTGAAAGGAGAAGAGAGTTTGGATAGCTGCCTGAGAGATATGTGTTAATATGTGTCTGAGTCTGTGGGATTTTACTGGCAAGATTAGCACCAACCGATGAAAAGAAACTGTTAAATTCATTTGCCATTTCTAAGTCAGTTGACGGTATACCCCCATCCTTGTAGAGTTTTATTTGGTTATGTGAGTGTTGTTTAGTTCCTAGGATACTAGAGATAGTTTTCCAAGTGCTTTTCATGTTGCCTTTTGCTTCATTGAATCTATTCACATAATATGCAAGTTTTGCCTTTCTTATGATACTGGTAAGCATTGATGAGTACCTTTTAGCTACTTCCTTTGAAACTAGGCCAATCCTAACTTTCTTTTCATATTCATGTTTCTTGTTGATTGAGTTGAGAATGCCACTTGTGAGCCATGGATTGTTTAATCTTTTGTCAGTTACTTGCTTGGTAAGGAGGGGACAATGAATGTTGTAGAGGCTTAGAGTTTTGGAGATGAAGAGGTTAGCTAATGAATTTATATCATGGGTATTATTGAATTCAGAATCCCAGTTAATATTGTAAAGTGCCTCTGTAAGATTGTCTAAAGCTGATTCACTGTGTAGCCTAAATGAAAGTTTCTTGCTTTTTGGTGGTGTTATGTCCATGTTCGCTATGAGAAAGGTAGGATAGTGGTCAGTTGTTCTGTCGTAGATTATACCAGATACAAGGGGAGCTGTTATGTTTGTCCATATGTGGTCCAAGGTAGTGGCTGATGTTTGGGTGACTCGGGTAGGTTTGGTGATTGTGGGGATTAGCATACAGGAGTTCATGCTGTTAAGGAAATAGTTAACTTGAGAGCAATTTTGTTGACCCAGGTCAATATTAAAATCTCCTCCCAGAATGAAGTGGTTTTTGTTGAGATTGTTGTTTATAATAAGATTCCTTAGGTTGTCTGAGAAAGAAGCTATGTTAGTATTGGGAAATCTATAGATGGCTCCAATAGTCAAAGAAGATTTAAGGGATTTAATTGAAAACTGAGCAAAAGTATATTCACAGTAGTCATCTCTGTCACTAATAACACTGTTGCAGATAAATGTATCTCGGTAATATATAGCTGTGCCACCACCTTTTTTATTAGGCCTACAGTTATGAATGGCTTTATAACCAGCTAAGTTGTAGAGTTGGGTATAGTCTTTATTTAGCCAAGTTTCTGTTAAAATAATGAACGATAGGTTAGTACCTATTGCTGTGAGTAATGCATTTAAATCGTCAAAATGTTTACCAAGTGATCTAACATTTTGGTTATAAACTGATAGACAGGTGCTATTTTGAAGTTTGTGTTTAGCCTGGTGTGCTGTGAAATACTTGCAATAATGATGATCAATGTGCTGGTTGGTGTAGATATGAGACAGAAGATTTTGATCAGGATCAATATCAGTGTGCATAGGATGCAGAGGGATCACGATACAAGATACACGATAAAGCAAAACACAAGAATAAAAGCAAATACAATAAAATAGTAACAATTTAGAAGTAAAATAAAGATCCAATAGTTAGCCAGGGAGGACACAGAAGTTACATAAAATAAAAAAAACAAAAAATCAGTAGAGACTGACAATATAAATGTAAAATAAAAAATAATAAGAAAAATGATAATCATAAAAAAAAAAAAAAAAAATGATCTTGAAGATAATTAGCTTAGTAATGGTTAATTAACAGGGGTAATAAAAAGCCCTAGGTTTAGTGACAAGGGGATTAACTAAGAACAAATAATTAAGAGTATAAAACAGGCAAAGATGACAAACAAAAAAAAATAAAAAAATAAAAATAAAAATAAACACCTTTGGAAAGGAAAGGCAGAGCTTAAGTACACTTTGGTTGTATGTGAGACTACAAATTATGTTCTGGTTATTCAGCTGATATCCCACAGTCATCCAGGAAAGAAGTGAGGTGTGCTTCAGTGGTTATGACATAAGTTTTTCCAGAGTCACGATGGCAGTACAGTCTTCTCTGTCAGTTTCATGGGGAAAATCCTGTGATGAGATGATGACAGAATCAAGGAGCTTAAGCTGGTCTGATTCGTCTTGGGTTGCAGTGTGTTGCTGTTGTAGGGAGTTAAAATGGTTCTCTAACTTTTGTAGCATATCTTCTTGCTTCCTAGAGGTTTCTGCTGGTTTAAAGTTAGTAACCGAGATCTGAAGAGAGCCTAATTCCTGTTCGAGGTGGCCGACTCTGGCAGACAGATCTTGGTTAATCTTGTGCATGGCCAAAGCATCACTCTGAAGCTTCATTATCAGGTCCGACTGCTCTCGGATTATAGACTTTTGGTCGTCATGTATTTGAGTCAATAATCTGAGCCATGGATTATCAGCGAGACGCTTAAAGTCAGTACATGGGGAGGCAGCTCGTTTAAGTTGCTCCATATGGTTATGGTCTATGAGAGAGTGCGCACAGGCTGTGTACATCATTCCAAGCATGGCGGTATAAGCCCCATGTTCATTCCTGGACATAGCTTTCAGAACCCTGAGATGACTTTTATATGTTCCTATAAGTTGGTTGAGCTCCTCTTTCTCTTGTTAAGAGTTGTACACATGATTTTCATATTCACACAATTCTGATGTATATACAGTATTAGTCTCCTAATAAATAGGAGTTATCAGACTGAGATATACCCATACGTGGAAATTGGTGAGTAATCTACCCAGGTATGCCTTTTAAATTATAAATGTTTGGTCTAGTTGAGGATATCAATTGTTTTAACCTATCGAATTCAATTATTGTCTTAAAAAGCCTGTGCATACTGTAAGTGCAAAATAACAAAGTACAAGTTTCTTTTGTCTGCATCAAAATATGCCTACATTGGTAGCTTACATCTTTACTTGGCTAATTTTTATTTCAGAATGTTATTTCCCTAAATAATAGGGTTGGTGTTGAATTTATGTACTGTACTATGTTCTGAAGGCAATCTAATTGTTTTGTTCTGTTTTCAGAGGTTCTGGACAAGAAGTTGGACGATCATGTCATTTTTTAGAATTCAAAGGAAAAAAAGTCTTGGTAAGTTAAATAATAACTGCATTGGTCCCAGCAGTGTGTGAGGATTTGTTTGAAGTGTATTTGCTGCTCAGTCTCTGAGTTCAAAGCTCAGAATGACTATTCAGTATTTGGATTAATGTTTCTGAGCAAAGTTGATACCTGGTTGATACCTGCTTGATGGGGTTCTGGGAGTTCTTCTACTCCCCAAGCCCGGCCAGAGGCCAGACTTGACTTGTGAGGTTTGATCCACCAGGCTGTTGCTTGGAGCGGCCCGCAGGCCCACATACCCACCACAGCCCGGCACTCCTTGAAGGAAACAATCTAGTTTCCTCTTGAAGATGTCCACGGTTGTTCCTGTAATATTTCTGATGCTCGCTGGTAGGACGTTGAACAACCGTGGATCTCTGATGTTCATACAGTGTTCTCTGATTGTGCCCATGGCACCTTGTGCCCAAGGTCCTCTCAGTGGCTTCCCTAAGCTACCTGTATATCCCTAGTATGTCTGCCCCTCAATGGTTTTAAGACCCACAGGGACAAGTAACCTTTCAAATTGTGTTGGCCCCATAGTCTAGAACATTGAGGACAGTGGAGATGCAGACAGTTAGTTGTAATAACATGTATGAAAATTTAACACCCAACCCCCACACCTGAAAATAAAGCAAGTCATGAGATTGCGGTCCATCCTGGACCACACCCCTTTATAATGGTCCAGAACGGACCAAAATGGCATCACTTCCTTTTTCAGATGTGTGAATTGGGTGTCTTGAAAGTAGAGATTATTCCTCAATTCACACAGAAGAAAACTGCTTCAAACAATCAATCAAACCTCTAAGACAGCCAGTAATCATTCAGACATTACAGTGACTACCAACTAATCCCGACACTGACACGAGGTGAGAATACAAACTAGTACAACCAGTTTGGGAGTGGTGGCCGCCTTCACTTTGTGCTTGTTGTGCACCAAGAAAAGTACACTCTTTACCTGAATAAACATTTGAATTTGAATATTACATACATGTATTGGTTGTTTAATGGTCATTCACTGAGTTTGTGTCTGTACAGGGGTTCCATGCTTTATTATATAATAATGAATGTGTGTCCTACAGTGAATGTGTGTCCTGTAATGAATGTGTGCACTATAGTACCAATGCCCGAATTTTTTGTATTTTTGTATAAGTACGTATATAATTTTTATGCAAATACCTGAATGTTCAGTAATGATCAAGTAGCACATTTTTGATGAATTGAAAATAAAGATGGTTTGCATTGAAAAACCTGCAAATCAGTATTGCTTGCTTGCAGCTGGACTTTGGCATCCATCCTGCGCTGACCGGAATGAGCGCTTTGCCATTTGTCGACCACATTGATCCCGAAAGAGTTGACCTGATGCTGGTCTCTCATTTCCATCTGGATCATGCGGGGGGCTTGCCGTGGTTTTTGATGCGCACACGTTTCAAAGGACGTTGCTTCATGACTCATCCAACAAAAGCCATTTACAAGTGGTTACTTTCAGATTATATTAAAGTCAGGTAAGCTATTAATGTTTTGTAATACCAATACAAGAAAGCAAAGATTGCTTTTGATTTACTTGTGCAGATATTATACTCTATAGATTATTTACTCATCCTCTAATCTTCTGATAACCCTCTAATGAAATGTAAATCATAGTATGAATACTATTTTCAAACTTGTGTTTTTTCCAGTATCATTATTAGAATGTTGAAGCTGAATTCTCACCTTTCTGTAAACTAGACAATTTGTGTGTGTATGTTATCCAATATATAATGCTGCACAGATAATTGATGGAAAAATGATATTGTTGTATGTAGATAATTATGGATACTGTTCATGTGATTTGCAATATTTATAAATTTTTGTCTTTGCAATTTTGTTGACAGCAACATTGCCACAGAGCACATGTTGTATTCAGAGAGTGATCTTGAAGCTTCTCTAAACAAGATTAATGTGATCAACTTTCATGAAGAAAAGGAAGTTCACGGCATCAAGTTCTGGTGCTACCATGCTGGACACGTCCTCGGCGCTGCAATGTTCATGATCCAGATTGCTGGTGTGAAGGTACCTTGACTCATTTAATGTATGCTTTGTTAGATATACAAGAATAGTCTTCAAGAACAAAGCATATCAGAGTATGCAATCATGGCTTTCCAAATGTTGAAATTGTTGATACGTCTGTATTTACTTTTTACGTGTAGTGCTAGAATGAGGTAACCCTAATTTCCTTTATCTAGAGCAAATGTATTTTTATTTAATTATATACTGTATTTATTTCCATGAAAGTATGGAAATCTGTTATTTTTCAGTCTGTTACTCAATCTTTTTCACAACTGTTAGTTTTCACAGAGTTTTGTGATTGATAGTCTTGCAAAGCCAACAACATACTGTATATGGCATTCCAAGCAAATAGTCTGGCGGTTCTTGCAGCAAAGTAAAAATATATTTGGTTAAACTCCTTCTATATCAGCTCAACAAAAAATGCCAAAACATCTCTGGATCTATGACACATTTATATCTGGGTCTGAGGAAGTGTACTGGAAGCAGGCATTACTGTAAATACCTAAGTGTAGTTACAGGATGAGAGCTACGCTTGTGGTGTCTCATCTTCCCAGTACTCTTCGTTGTATAACGCTTTGAAACTACTCAGGTTTTAGCCTCCACCACCACCTCACTTAACTTGTTTCAACTGTCTACCACTCTGTTTGCAAAAGAAAACTTTCTAATATGTTTTTGGCACCTTTGTTTCCTTAGCTTTAATTAGCCCCACTGTGCAGAGGTCCTGTGGAGGGTAAATGGGGAATAAAAGCATTTGGAAATGTCACATGTGATTTGTGATGGTTAATTTGATAAATTGTGATCGTGCACGACGAAACCTGAGTGAACTGCTGTGAGGTTTGTTAGGGCAGGTTTGTTGTTTGAGCAATAATGAAGGAAGATGGATAGTAATAAATAGAGAATTGCATGGATTGTTTGTCATGAAATAAGGAACTAATAACCATGATGCCTGTTCATGAAACAACGTACCTTAAGTATGATATTAGGAATAAATAATCATGGAGCTTGTCCAAGAAACTAGGATCATGCAAGTCTCTATTCATTACTATGCATACTCCCTCATTTTTTGCCCTCCTGTCTTAACAATCCTTGTAGTGTTCCATACATTTGAATGTAAGACTTTTTCCACGGTGCCAGAGTGTAAAGCTTGGTTGAAAGCTTAGGGAAAGAGTGAAGTTGTGTGCTGTGTTCTGGTATGCACTGTATGATAAGAGACCGGGAAGGTCCTGGGAAGGTCATATATTGGTTAAGGGCTCATTAAGTCTCACAGATTTGTTCTTCCTGACAATGAGAAACTATGAGGAGAGTAGTCTAGTTGAATAATGTATGTAGTGCAGTATAGGTAGAATTGAGATAATCTAGAAGTTTAAGTATAAATATTTAAGAATGATAATGAGATTCAAAGTTTTAATTGTCTTTTGTGTAGGTGAATGAAAGCTGGAGAATGACAAGGGTGACCTGGTATCTGTGGTAAAATACCAAGGTTAATGTTGGCTTTGTGTGATGAATCCAGTCCATTCTCAAGATATGACAAGCATTAAATTTGAAGTTATTTTTCCTAGTGAGAAGTGTACGACTTGGCAAATAATCATAATTTATTGAGGCTGGAGCTCATTAGTCCGTAGAAACGTAAATATTGTGGTGCTTTAAATAGCACTAAAGCACTGGAATTTTGTTGCTGTGGTTGTTATTGATAAAATTGTGGCTCAAAGTATAAGGACAAGTTGGATGAATTGTCTTCAGCATGTATGATGAATAATGATAAAGCATTCCAGGAGTGTGGAGAATGTTTTTATTTTGGCCTACAAGATGTGTTTTATGGTCAGCTTAAATATATATTAGTGAAGGAGGCTGTGTTGTACTTGATCCATCCATATCATATAAACATGGATCTACAGATCATAGACAAATACTCTTGTTTCATGATCCACATCTTCATTTTGTTTGGCTAATGTATTGAATTCTCTCTCTTGTAGATACTGTACACTGGAGATTTTTCAAGGCAAGAGGATCGTCACTTAATGATGGCAGAAATACCACAGATTCGACCAGATGTTTTGATGATCGAGTCAACGTATGGAGTGAGCATTCATGAGCCTCGAGAAAGCAGAGAATCCCGTTTCACCACAACTGTCCATACTATTGTTAGTCGTGGTGGTCGCTGCTTAATACCCGTCTTTGCTCTTGGACGAGCACAGGAACTTCTCCTCATTTTAGGTATTGTTAGTTTAATTGTAATTAATATATTGTTTATGACTACACATTATGGATAATTTGTCTTGAAAAAAGAGCTGCATGAATAATGGATCTGAGTTAGGTTATACACTGTATAATAACTGCTCAGAAAGGAGCATGTTATCTAATCCAGTGCTCAGAAAGGAGCATGTTATCTAATCCAGTGCCTTATTTGTAAATAGTGTATTTTGTTGAATTTTTGTAAATGTTTGGGTGGTTCATTCTTGATGTGATATTTATTGCTCAGCTAGTCAATACCTAGCTAGGTAGCTCAGCTTGCCTGGTATTTTGGAGTTTCAATAATTTACACTACAGTTTGTGACTAAATTGATTTATATCCAGTCCACTGGATGTTACATAACACTGGAATTTGTTTCAATGATGTTGTACTGTATAATTCTCTGGCATATCCAAGTCAGATTAATCTTGGGGGTTGACTCATTAGTAGATTCCTATATGGGAGTGTCCATATATGCTAATTCACTAAAGGCTTCATAGAATTTTGTATCCTTTGCAGACGAGTACTGGCAACAGCACCCTGAGCTGCACGAGGTTCCCATCTACTATGCCTCGGCACTGGCCAAGAAGTGCATGAGCGTTTACCAGACGTATACACATGCTATGAATGAAAGAATTCAGCGACAAATTTCGATTAGTAACCCCTTTCAGTTTAAGCATATTTCAAACCTAAAGGTGAGTAATATAATGCATTTTCTATTATTTTCTTTATGGTTACATGGTATACAATTAATGAGGAACACTATAATCTCTTATGCCTAGACACTATACAGTAATTCCAAAGTCAGTCTTCTTTGGTGAATAATCCAAATTCTTTATTTTCTGGGAGGGTGCCCACTCGGTGTCTTTCCAAGGTACCCACCTGGAATCCGTGGCCCAAGGGCTGTATGTCAGGCCCCTATGAATGAATAACTTGACAAATCACGTAATTCCCATAACTCAATTGTTTAAAAAGACATTTCAATTGATGATTGGTTTATCTGGCATACTCCATTACAACCATAGAGTAGTTAAAAGGATATGAACATAATATTCAATGGTGTTGGGCTCTGGGTGATGACATGGCCTAATTGGCCATATGTCATTGACCACATTGATGAAAATATAGATTGAAAGATGAAGTGGCAATGCCCTGGGGCCCACCAGCACACTTTTTTTCTTCCATAAAAATGGACAAATATCAAATAATACTTAGAGTAATCAGCTACTTGGTAACATTGCCCAAGTAATGTTTTTCATGTAATTCCACCACAGTACTGTATGCATTGTCATGTACAGTACAGGTAAAAGCAATTCAAACTTGTATAAGTATAGTAATATGGCCTCAATATATTCCTCTGCAAAATTATGCATAATATAACCGATGATTAATCATTACATATTATTATGATATGAGCTGTCTGCATGTTTGTTTATCCTTTTGAATAGCCACACTGACCAGAAGACTGGTTTGGCTAAAACCATTGAGCTGGTTTGACCTAGGAGGTCAAATGGAGGGCACCTGACAGCTGAGTGGACAGCACTTCAGATTTGTAGTCCTGAGGTTCTGGGTTCGATCCCCGGTGGAGGCGGTGACAAATGGGCAAAATGTTTTTCACCCTGATGCCCTTGTTACCTAGCAGTAAATAGGTATCTGAGGGTTACAGCTGCTACAGGCTGCTTCCTGGGGGTGTGTAACAAAAAGGAGGCCTGGTCGAGGACCGGGTCGCGTGGACGCTAAGCCCCAAAATCATCTCAAGATAACCTTAAGATAGGAGCCCAAAAACAGTTAAATCTGGCCCTCCCTGTCAAAAAGAGGAAATTCATTACATTCAATTTCTGTATTTTTTGGGTGTCACAGCTCGATCTCCATTCTTTGTGTTCAGCGTGTTTACAAGTTGACTGGGCCATTCCTCGAGTGCTGAGGCTCTTGGGGCCCCAAGTCTGTGCCTTGTTTGTTGCCTGCTTTGGTTCTGCATATATACCTGTAAAAAGTCTTGTCTGCTGCCAGTGGTTGTCACTGAGGAAGCTGGAGAGATCTCTGGTGGCTTCTCCCAGTTGTGGGTTGATCTCTAATCCCCCCATGTGCTTTTGGTCCAATACGAGGGGGAGGGGGGCAAATTTTTTTTTTGAAAAGGTTCTTGTTTCGCGTCGATCAAAAAAGTTAGCCAGGAGCCTGGCATATTTACCCTGCCTCAGTGCACTTTGCAAGGTTCCTTCCCCCAGAAAGGGACATTTCACTACTGCACATTGAATGCTGTATTTTTCCACAACCACATAGCAACTTTGATGTTTATTTAATACATTTTAATTCTTCTTTAGGGCATGGACCAGTTTGAGGACATAGGCCCGTGTGTTATTATGGCTTCTCCGGGTATGATGCAGAGTGGACTCTCTCGGGAACTGTTTGAAATGTGGTGTCCCGACCCTAAGAATGGAGTGATAATTGCTGGTGAGTATAAAACTGTGAAATAATGATATATGTCATCACCAGCTTAAGCTATAACACTGAAAGGTATGTCTGTGGTTAATAATATACAACAATAATTGAAACGATGCTGTGATTTGTTTTCAGGTTATTGCGTGGAGGGTACTTTGGCCAAAGAGATTTTAAAGGAGCCTGAAGAGGTGACGACTATGTCTGGCCAGAGACTTCCAATGAAGTGTTCAGTGGAATACATCTCCTTCTCTGCTCACACAGATTTTGAACAGACCTCACACTTCATACGGACTATTCGACCTCCGAATGTGGTAACTATTTTATACCAAAACACATTATACTCGATATATTTCGTCAATTAAAAGTTATGCCCTGTAAGGTAAAAATTAATTTCACGTACGTACTTTGTTGTAATGGGATGCTTGAAGGTGTTTAATATCTCTTGTTAAATTACTTGTGTTTCAAGTAATTATACTCATTTGTATCACCACCATACTGTGAACATGGGGGTTTAGTAGAATTTTTCTACACCTTTACATTGAGTTGCTTCCTAAGGTAATGATCAGTTATGAGAGACTATTCATATACTGTAGAGTCAGGCAGAACAACACTGGCAGATACCACACAAATCTTTTCCATCATCTATGCAAGGTCATTAAGGTGCTTGGGAGGCACTGGAGAAAGTGTAGTCTTGTCCATAGTAACTGCCAGAGGTTCATTCATATAGCCTCAAAGCCTTACTGCATTGCATATGTATTAGAAATTTTTAATACTTTTTATATGTTGACAAGGTTTTGTGTGATATGGCCTAACTGCCTGGTGATGTACAGTTCCATTTTCAGCTCTAATTCAGTTTGGGCTTTAGCAGTAGGTTTGTACTCTCGAAGTTTACTACTACATTTGTGGTTTTTACCTGATTTACCTGATCTAACCCTAGTGGCCTTGATGAGGGCAGGAAGCCGGCAGCCTGTCTGAGGTCCCCCCTTTGTCTTTGTTCATTAAAGTTTATAGATGCTTGGCTAGAGGACTAGGTGTTTGTGATAGGTACTTCTTGGAGACACTTGGTTTGCTCTGTGTAGGGTTATAACACACACAAGGGCAGTTGGGGAAAGGAAAGAAGGTGGAAGACGTTAAGGGGTCAGGAGCACAATTTATGTATATAAACACAAAGGGCTCCACCCCTGCGAGAGACTTGAACCTAGAAGGCCCAGGTGTTCGCGCACCAAGATACAACCAGTACTCTGACCACTCCACACAGATCCTTGAAAAGAGACCGAAACTCGGGAGTTTATACCCAACATCTCGACCTCCCAAGGATGCCAGCAATCGTAAGAGATCAGAATTCGTTTTTCATCAGTCAATCGCATTTACTAGGGAGAACGCGAGCCACACATTTACAGATACTTGCATAAGTATTGTGTGTTTACCAATGATTTGTGAGTTTATGCAAGTGTCCGTGTATATATTATATACAGGTATATCAACAAGTCCTTGGACAGTTTGTCAGGCTCTCTGCTTTGGTTATAGTATGGCGAGGGATTCCAGTGATAGGAAAATTAAAATACAAAGATAAATACAGTACAGAAAATAAAACTACCAAAGTATGATGTGAAGGGTATATAGAACGGATCACATGTACGCACAAAACATTGATCAATCATACCCAAGGCACATCCATGAATGCCTACACCCTAGAAATGAGTTCCAAAGGACTGTGATTGTGGTGGTACATAGTGAAATGGACTATAACTCTATGCATTGCCATTTCTAATCCTAAAGAACAGCCACCACACAAGACTTGTATGTCCAACTGTCTTGAAAGTTTGGCAGGAAGAGTGAATAGTGACTTCAGTGTTGCTATCCTGTTGTGGGTTAGGTATATGTGGCAGCCAGTAAAGGCCAGTCAGGTCAACTGGTACTGTAATTACCAAGAGTGCTCCACTAGTGCTCATTTATAATAGCAAGAAGGGAATGGAAAAAGAGGTCTAACGAATCAACATTCTGGAGGTCAGTCTGGGATGTATTGAATGTTTTCTCTGAATGAATTGGTGTAATTCTGCAGGGATGTTGACAGCTTCTTTGTAGCTGTGGTGCCAGTACTGGTAATTGACTTGTCCTGACCGGTCATGATCACTTATGGTGGACTCCAAACAATCTAAGCTTAGGAAAAGGCCAGGTTAGGAAGCTTAGAATTCTTCATTTAATGGAAACCTTGATTTGATGGGATAAAAATGTTCCCAATTTAGTTCCACTTTGTTATTTTGCTTTGTTTGTTCATACTAAAAAACTGCAAAGGAAAAGTGTCTTGTAAGTTTTTCTTGTCATATTCATTTCTAATGATACTTTAAACATTATACCATCAGGTTTTGGTGCACGGAGAAATGACAGAAATGTCTCGGCTGAAAGCTGCCTTGGAGCGAGAATATGAAGGTAGTACAGAAAGTCCTGTTAAGGTGTTCAATCCAAAGAATCTGGATGCTGTCACTTTCCACTTTAGGGGAGAGAAGATGGCCAAGGTAAGCTAACCTAACCATTACATTGTTTTATAGAATGCCATGTTTTTTTTAAATAGCTTAGAACTTGCAAATGTAGTAATTACCAACAGTAAGAACAGTGGCAATAACAGTATCAGCTGATATTGGTACAAATATTAGCTCTAATATCACTAATAATAATAATGGCAACATCAGCTCACCAGCAGCTGTATAATAGAAGCTGCTGTGTATGAGAAAATGTTGATCATGATTTTAGATTGGAGAAGGTTTTATGACCAAGTTGACTATGGTTTAGGGACTGTTTAGATCCTGTAAATAAATCTATATCCTGCCTGTCCAAGAGGGTGAACCAATCATCCTTTTGCATTTCAATGATGGGAAAAATGCCCAAGTTGCTGTGACCCTGAATATACTGGTCCCTGACAAAGGATTTTGTTTTCTGCATACATGAAAGGACCTGGGAGTTATGATCCACCAGTCATTTAAAGTCACTCAGCAAGTTGGAGTTGCAGTAAAAAAAAAAAAAAAGCCAATCCTATAGAATAATCCAGTGAACCCTTAAACTGCATAACACATCAATAGCTGGGGGTGAGTAACTGTCTTGGAATTGTGCACCACAGCTACTGATGTGTTGGAGTACCGCGCAAGATTTAAACGGCCTGCGGGTTGTGGGGGCGGGGTTACCCATATTCTGCCCAGTGCTGATAGTAAACATGCCGTCTTGCAAAAAAATCCAGCATAGGCTGGCATTGTGTAGGGGCCTCAGTTACCCAGCAGACACGATGGTGAGTGCATCACATCCCAACACCCGACCACGCTCAATGCACTGCACCACGCAATCATTGACTGAAGATGAAATCCATACTAAATTATTTTCTGATGGTGAGGAAAGTGATATTGATGACTCTGATGTCGATAAAGACTATACACAGGAGTCCGATGGGAATCTAACAGTGAGAATGAGATACATCCTGCTCCCAGGGCGAGGCCTACACATTCAGTACTGCTTCCACTGCCTCCTCGCCCACACTACACCAATTCGCTCCCGACCACACAGTTCTTGTGATTATTTGCAGTATGAGGATATTTTTGTCGACGAGTCAGAGGAATGTGACTTTTTCTGGTTTTAGTGAAGTTGAATCAGAAAATAGTGTCGCTAGTGCCAGTGGTTTTACCAAGTGATGTTTTGTAGCATCAGCAGCATCTCACCCAGCCAAATGCTGCCACATGGCACCACATGGAGACAATAAAGAACAAAGGTCCTCATGTTCACGTGATATTACCTCATCTTCAGTTCACGCCCATACTGTGCATGGATGGGCTTCAGCTCCTGGTCCACAGTGTGCAATGATTCCTCGCCATGGTGCAGCTGTTGCGTCTCACAAGACACCAGGTGTGTGTGTGTGTGTGTGTGTGTGTGTGGAGATTTTTTGTTCTACTAATTCCTGCCTTTGACAATAAAGATGTTGGGATTGCAGACCTTTTCCCTGATACTGCTGAGGACATGTGTGAAATGGACTTTTTTACTGCAGATTTTGATGTCGTTCATAGAACATATTGTTCAGGAAACGAACATTTACGCAGCTTATCTCATTGAACATGAGTTAACAGATTTTTCACAATTACAGCATTGAAAAAACACTAATGTAGGTGAAATGTATGTGTTTCTTGCACTATGTATGTTGATGAAACAGTGTAAAACACGTCATCTCAGATTATTGGAGCAAAGACCACACTGTTCCAACACTTTTGTTCGGGATATATGTCTCGAGACAGGTTTCAGGTATTCTTCAGGTGTCTTCATTTTGCAAGTACTGTAATGAAGACCAGACACAGGATAATAGACTTTGGAGAGTGAGGCATGTTCTGAATGAACTGACTGGAAAGTTCAGAGATTTCTACGTACACCAGCTCAGGAGCTGGTGATTGATGATTACCTTGTGCTTATCAAAGAACGTGTTACCTGCAAGCAGTATATGCCCTCCAAACGCCACAGATTTGGATTGAAATTCTTTGTTCTCTGTGACTGTGAAAGAGGAATTGTGTTACACATGATTCTGTGTTCTGCTACCAATGTAGACTTTCCCAGTAATGACCAACATGGTTTCTCAGGTAGTGTGGTGAAGACAATGATTGCACCATGGCTGAACAAGGGCCACATTTTATACACAGATAACTATTATACAAGTCCCTTGCTAACTAGGTTCTTGCTTGAAAATAGAACTGAAGTGTGTGTGGCACAGTAAAGGCAAGAAGGGAAATGCCTGTTTGACAATAATATTAAAGTAGGTGACTGCCAGCTAAGAAAAACTGATCAGATACTCTCAGTGCGGTGGAAAGACAGGAGAGACGTGAATATGTTGACAACTGTTCACAATGGTACAATGGTGAACAGTGGCAAGGCGATCAAAACGACGAAACAACCAATATATAAACCAGATTGTGTTATGGACTATAACATAAACATGCATTTGGTTGACAAATGTGACACGAGTGTGGGTGCTGTCGAGTGTGTACGGAAAACACTGAAGTGGACCAAAAAGATGTTTTTTCACCTTGTTGACGTAACCATGCTGAACAGTTTTAATGTGTATCTGGTGAAAACAGGTCATAAACCAGCATTCCGTGTGTTTAGTTTTCAGTTGTGACAGTTACTAAAAAAGTTTGACAAAGACATTCCTGGCATACAAAGACCCATTCAGAACCCAGTATTGCACCATGCTGCTACGCCCAGACTCACTCACAGGGAGGGCTTTCAAGTACACAGACTAAAATATTTGCCATCATCTGGAAAGCGTGCAATAGCCCAGCAAGAGTGCATGGTTTATAGAACCACACAAACAGAAACGTAAAGTGGTACAAGCATGGTGTGAAGTGTGTTCTGTCCCGTTGTCATGTCAACTGCTTCAACGACTACCACTATCTTCAGGACTTCTAAATGTCCCATAATGGTGTAAAAACTTGCACATATTGAGTGAGTGCATGTATATATTGATGAAAATCTGAATACATATTATATATATATATTTTTTTTTGAGATATATACAAGAGTTGTTACATTCTTGTACAGCCACTAGTACGCGTAGCGTTTCGGGCAGGTCCCTGGAATACGATCCCTGCCGCGAAGAATCGTTTTTTTCATCCAAGTACACATTTTACTGTTGCGTTAAACAGAGGCTACAGTTGAGGAATTGCGCCCAGTAAATCCTCCCCGGCCAGGATACGAACCCATGACATAGCACTCGCGGAACGCCAGGCGAGTGTCTTATATGATGAATATATGATGTAAAAGAAAACATTTGTGTTCACATAATTGTGACACTAATATGGGATTGTGTGTTGAATGAATACAAGTTGTATTGTAATACAACATCAAGTAACATAGTGAACAATATCAGTGAGAAAAATTGTGGTAAAATATGCCATTTTATATGCCTAGACACCATAAATAATTCAGCGAAAATAAATTCGTGGCAACTCCGGCTGCTTGAAGGCTGCGCACGTCGCCTCTGGGACGCACACTGCTTGAGCACACACTTGCTCTGACGTCATCGCCCAACTTCTCGACTCATTTACAACATTGGTAAGTAATTTTTTTTTCCATTGATCAGGAAACACAAATGAACACTTATAAGACAAAATAATGTTTTGGAATTTTGTTTTTCTTGCGCCTGGGCATGTTGCAGGCTGAAATTGCATGAGCAATGAAAAGGAAAGAGGTTATTAAACTGTGCCAGTCTCTGGTGCCCCATTTGGACTACTGTATCCAAACAGACCTTGCATTAAAAAGGACGTACAGGTATCTACATTGGCGAAATTTCATTGCCGAGAGACAAAAATCATCCCAGAAATAAGTCAGCTCTCATACCAGGAACAGTTTAGGGCCTCAGAACTAACATTACAAACCAGACATAACAAAGCTGATCTCATTGAGACCTTTGACATACTGAACAAATTCACTCAGTCTCATTAATACAAAAAATAATTATTCATTAACTTTCTGCAGTTTACTATTTTTGTCAGACATGGAGACATTAATAAAGCAAGGAGCAAATTAAATACTACATTTTCTCTTGTTATTATTTAGTTTCAACAAATGTCTTGGTATAGGAGCTGCCGAGTGAGATCTTTTCTGCCACAGTTCTCTGTAGGTTATCAGTCATTTCTTTTAGGTTCACCACATTGTTTTGCCATGTACTCGTGACAGGTGATGGGCGAGCTGGCTGTTTACAAGCCCAAGGAGAATGGAATCGTCTCTGGTGTTTTGGTCAAACGTAACTTCAACTGTCATATCATTTCTCCAAAAGAATTAGGCAGTAAGTACAGTATTTTCATTAATTTTTATCTATATAATCTACCTCTTATGTTTACATAGAATCAGCGTTGCAAATTTAATCCATGCAGTTCGCTTGGGTGTGATCTACCTTCTTGGTGGTGTTTTCTCTTGGTTACTGTGGTGATCTTAGAGCCCCAGACTTCCCTTCATCTATTGATTGGTAAATCAATATAGCCTGGTGTGGTACTGAAGGGCTGACCCTTAGATGACCCTTAGATGCCAGTGCCACAAGCTAAGGAAACTGCAGAGGGGCCACCCAGGACCGGGTCTTTGATTACACTCATTTCTTTATTTTGTATTTTGTGGCCATTCTTTAGTCCCTTGAGTTTCAGGGACAGAGTGAAGCATCACATACACTACATATCAAAGTGTATATAGTAACTGTATAAACAAAATGCTACACTAATGCTATATTGAATTTTGGTTTTAATGTCAACTTTCAGAATACAGTGAGCTGTCAGTGTCTACTATCAGCCAAAGAACCAGCATCCATTACACTGGGTCTTGGCAGCTGCTCCATTACCTCTTGGCCTCCATGTATGGCAGCGTCGAGGTCATCCTCTCTGATAGTTCAGAAAGTAGGACACTCCGAGTATTTGATACAATTACTTTAGTGGAAGAGCCACCAGTTGTGGTGTTAGAGGTAAGTTATGCTTTATAGTAGTGCATCTTATTGCCTCATATAACACACCTCATACCTACAAGCAAACGTATTGAATATTCAATGGTAAATTAAACTGAATAGAAGTTATTAATAAGATGTTAGTGCAATATTTCCTGAATCTTAATAAACAATTGAGTATTAAAATTCTTATTTGTATAACTTAAGAACATACATTATTTTACCATTATGCAAATCCCATTGAACCCATTTCTTGATCTAATCTTAGATCATTTCTCTCTCTTGATCTAATCTTAGATAGAGAGAGAGAGAGAAATTATTCACTGATGGGCGAATGTAGTATTAAACTATTAAAAAAATTAACTCTATTCTTAATTGTAGTCCCTAAATGGAAGTAAGATAGAGCCTGAAATACCTAGTGGTTGAAGCCTTGCTAGTGGACTATGGTGGATATCTGGCCAAAGGCACCTGCAGGTGTCCAGTGTAACAATATGGCTGATCCTAGAGTCATCCAGTGACTGGTGCCACTTAGTGGTGAGGCAAACATCAGTACCAGAACAACCATTCCTAAAACAATACTGCTGACCACACAGTAACCATTGATGGTCAAAGAATGCTATCATTTGTTGTGAAATTAGTCTTGAGAATTTTGCCAGTAATTGGAAGCAGTGACACTCAATTGTAACTACTCAATCACTATGATTGAATCACAGAAGTTTTAAAAAAAATAAATAAAATACTGATGTTATATACACAGATTTTGCAAAAGCAATTGATAAGTGTGACCATGGAGTGATAGCCCTTAAAATGAGATCAATTGGAATAATGGATAAAGTTGGGCGCTGAATTTTAAGTTTTCTGTCAAACAGAATGCAAAGAATAAGTCACTCAAATAAGATAAAGTCCAAATGTAGTGAAAAGCTTTCTGCTCAGGGCACAGTCCTTGCACCACTGCTCTTTCTCATTCTTATCTCGGATAAGATACTAGGCAAAAATATTAGTTGCAGCTTTGTGTCATACTTTACTGATACAAAAATCAGCATGAAAATTTCCTCTGTAGAAGACACTGAAAAATTACAAGCCGATATTAATAAAGTCTTTGATTGGGCCATGGAATATAATAATGTTTTAAGTGATAAGTTCGAGGTACTGTGCTTAGGTATGGTGGAAATGAGGAACTTCAATGAAACACAGGGTACAAGACACAGACTTAATCACACAAGGAAAGCAACATGTAAAAGATTTGGGAATTATGATGTCTGACGACCTGATATTTAGTGAACATAATCGAGCAAATCGAGCAGCAGCCAGGAAAATGATGTGATGGATTATGAGAACATTCATATCCAGGGACCCCACAGCAATGCTAATACTATTTAAATCACTGGTGTTATCCCATCTAGAGTATGCTTTGTACTCACTTCCCATTTCTGAGTGGGAAAGATTTCTGAAATAGAGGAAATACAGAGAATATGTACGGCATGCATAGACACAATAAACCAGTTAAACTACTGGGACCGTCTCTAAGTTCTGAAGATGTACTCTCTGGAAAGGAATCGAGAGGGGTATCAAACAATATATACCCGTTACATGGAAGATACTGGAAGGCCAAGCCCCAAATTTGCACAGTAGAATAACAATGTACTGAAGTGAAAGATATGGAAGGAAATGTAGAATAAAACCAGTGAGGAGTAGAGGTGCCATAGGCACAGAGAGCATCGTCTGAACATCAGAGGTCCACAGCTGTTCAATACTCTCCCAGCAATCTTTAGAAATGTTGCCGGAACAAAGGTTGGCTTCGTCAAAAACCAATTAGATAAGTTCTTGAAAGAAGTACCATACCAACTGAACTGTAGTGGATATGTGGGCCTTCGGGGCCACTCCAAGCAACAGGCTGTTGGACCAAGTTATCACAAGTCGAGCCTGGCCTCATGCAGGGCTCGGGGAGTAGAAAAACTCCTAAGACCCTCTCCAGGTAAAATCCAGGTAAGACACCGGTCTATACTTGCCAACCACTGAACGACTTTCTTTTGTGGATTGGAATTACATTTGCCTTCTTCCATTGGTAGAGCTAGATTCCTTAAGATAGGCACAGTTGGAAGAGGTGAGTGAGAGTCAAAGCCAACAGGTCTTCACAATTCTATACCAATCTGGGACTAACCTTATTTGGTCCTATTTTCTTACCTGTGTCAAGTGATTGAAGGAGGTAGTAGACTTAGTTTTGTTAAATAATTACGGCAGACAACTTGGATACAGTTGTTGGATCAAGCTGTGGAGGTTGATTTGGATCAGACACTTTCATCTAAGCAGCAAAATGGTTTGCCAGTAGGTTATGCTTTTCCCAATTGTTGGTTGCCACAGTCCCATCTTCCTGGTTTAGTGGTGGGATTGTGCACTCATATGAATATTCCTGCAGGTCTTTGAGAAGGTACCACCAGACTTTGGATCCAGCTTTTCTTGGTGCAAGTTTTTTCCAATTTCAGATTCCCATCCGGAGACAGCCCACTTTTAAACGTCTATCATTTGACAACGAGCTGTTTAGTGAATATTTCTGTTGCGAACAGAAGAATGCTTTTTATGTCTCCTCCAGGCATTATTTTTAGCCTTAGTTGCCATCTAACATGGATAGCCAATCCATGGCTTGTCAGAAGCCTTGGTCACATAATGTCTGAGGAATATGATTGGTGAAGCCATTTGCTTTTCTGTTCAAGTAACCCTCAAGCAAAGCATTTTATTCAGTTGCTCCTGGCTTCGAGTGGAGGATTGGCTAGTATTTTCCTTGTCTCAGTCAGGTTGGGTTACCTTTTGGTTACTTTCCCTTTTGATGATTCTGAGGAGCAGTGTCCCCACAGTCTGGTCCCTGACCAAGCCTCCTGGTTGATGGTCTGGTCAACCAGGCTGTTTGACATGGTTGCTTGCACCCTGATGTATGAGTCGCCTTGATGTGTCAGAACGGCCAGTGTAGTAAAGACAGCCTGGTGGTGTTATGTACAAACATGTATATAGGCCTGCAGGTTGGTTAGTTATGAGAGGATCTAGGGAAGAACCCGAGAATCGAGTTGGGAAGGTCAGAACATTTTAAAAGTTGAAAACTGGTAATAGTTCATCAAAATCTCTGTGCTCACCTAGTTGTGAGTACAGAGGGATTTTGATGATCTAATAACAGTTTTCAACGTTAAACAATTTTGTGACCTTTCCAACTCATATCTCGGGTTATAATTCCAAGGATTTTCTGTATGAAATACTGGCTGATGCCATCCACAGTTATATTGTGCTGACAATTATTATTCCATTAATAGTCAATATTGTCCATCAGGGAGATTAATGGGGAACTTCCTGCCATTTAGTTCAGTTCACTGCACACCAAGATGGATGTTTTGGCATTTATGCATAGTTTGAAGAACATAATTTCCAGATGGACAGAGATGACTAAATCAATAGGTTGGGGATGCACAGATTTAGTGAAGTAAGCTGTAACTCCCTCCTCATGGCCCCAGGCTGACCTTGGGGAGTAGAACTACTCCCAGAACCCCATCCAGGTACAGTCATGGCCCTGCCTGTCACGATGTGTCCATGAGCTATAGCCAGCAAGTTCTTAGGAGTCCTGATGTCCAGAAATGTTTTCAGTACAACTTCTTTAATTTTTGAACTGCGTTGCCTCCAAATGTGACACCCCCGCAGTGCGCAGGAAATAAATTCTCTTGAAAAAATTATTTTTTCTTTTTAAAGTGTCAAAAACCCTTCCCTGAGTATGGGTATGTAAAAAAAAATTCGAAATTGTACTTACTTTGGGTGCTATGGGGTCCGGAAGTTGGGGCGTGACGTCATCATTCCCCGTGCGCCCGTGGTGTAAGCTCTCAGAGGCGGTGGGGCGCTCGGGGCGGGGCGCGCGAGTTGCCGCGAATATATTTTTGTTCATTTATTGCGCACATTTCCCAATACATTTTCATTGTTTTTATGTGCCAATCCAATGTATAATGAACACGTACACTGTAATATCGCAGTACAACATCCGTACTGTCCGTAGACACTGTGTTACGTGCATCACAAACAACTTCACTTATCCTACACAATTTCCAATGTATCATGCCAAATAAATTTATATTTACACTTTATATACACACTGTACAGTATCACACACTATATACACACACCATAAACACACTCAGTACTCCGCGAGTGTGTGATATGCTGCGAAACAGCCAACGGGGCAGAGTGGCACCTTGCACTCCACGCACCAGGTGCTGATACATCTTCGTTTCTGTTCTCTGCGGGTAGTGTTCCTGCATACTATACACGCACGTTTACCCTTCTCCCGTGATGCTGTGCCTGGCATATACTCGAGCATATGTACTCCGAAGTTCTCATTACCCCTCAATCTGTCTGGAGCTGCATGTGGCATTGTTGCTTGCACTCCGCGCGGTACAACAGAACCCTCCTTGCCATACTTTACTAGCAGCTGTGACACAACACCAGCACTGAATGTACGTATAGACGGTCTCCTGCCAGATTTTACTAAGTACATATTGAAGCAGTTGAGCACTGCAACATCCATCAGGTGGAAGAAGAACTTTTTAGTCCACTTCACAGACTTGCGCACGCACTCTACTCCACCAAGCATCATGTCACACTTATCGACGAGGCGCATGTTCACGTTATAGTCTATGACACAGTCTGGCTTATACACGGTGTTGCGTGTCTGAAAGTGGACTTTCCCACTGTCCAACATGGCACCGGTGTGAATCGTACTCAGCATATTCACCTCGCGTCTGTCCTTCCACCGCACTGACAGCGTATTGTCACACTTGCGCAGCTGGCACTCGCCCACGGCTATAGCTATACCGAACACTGGCATTTCCTTCCTATGGCTCTTCACAGTGCCACATACGCCGGTGTTGTGGGCAAGGAGGTATCTGGTCAATAAGGGGCTGGTGTAATAGTTGTCGGTGTACAGTACATGCCCCTTGTTCAGCAACGGTTCCATCAGGGTCTTTACAACACTGCCAGAGAACCCGTGTTCATCTTGAGCCGGTATGTCGACGTCTGTACCAGAATATAATATCATGTCCAAGACAATACCAGTCTCACAGTCGCATAGCACAAAAAACTTCAGTCCAAATCGGTGCCGCTTTGATGGAATGTACTGTTTGAATGCCAGTCGCCCCTTGAACAGTACAAGCGACTCGTCAATAACCACATTCTGTCCAGGTACAAAATAATCCCTGAACTTCCCTCTCATGTCACTGAACATCTTCCGTACTTTCCACAGTCTGTCGTGTCTGTCCTCATTTGCATTATTCTCGAAATGCAGGCACCTGAGAATCAAGAGATACCTATCACGCGACATGTACCGGTTGAACACAGGCGATGGAACAAGGCTGTCTTTGCTCCAATATTCCTGGATGACAGCTTTCTCAGAGTGCTTCATCATCATGGTGAGTGCCAGAAACACGTACATTTCGTCAATTGTCGTGTCCTTCCATCGTGTGAGCCGTGAGGCAGGTAAAATGCCTTCGTCTATGAGGCTGTGAGCGAACCTGTTTGTCTCAGTCACAAGATGCGCCATGAATACATTGTCATAATATGCCTGAAAATATTCCATGTGTGCCATATCATCACCAGTATATGGGAATAATGGTGTAACACCAAAATCGCTATCATCAAATGTTGGTATTTGAGGGGCAAATGTGGTGCAATCCTCCCACACAAGTACACCAGGGGGTTTGGTGTTGGCGCCAACACCACGGCCAACACCACCACGAGCACCAAAACTACGGCTACGTCGTCCGCTGCTTCTGCTGGAGCTGCGTGAGGGTATGCTAGGCGCTGAGGCAGATTTACGTACTGTACACCTACCACGAATAAATGATGTTGAGGGGCCACTGTCGTTGTCCACATGCTGTGAGGCACGCTGCCGCCTGCCGCGGCGTGTTGCTGAGGTAGCAAAACCCCGCCTGGTAACACCACCACTGCTCGTACTCGGGTCGTCCACACTACTCGTATCGGAGCCAATGTCACTGAAGCCCGAGAAAGATTCGTCACATGTACTATCACTGAATAAACTACTAGCGTCTGGGGACATACATGATGGTGGTGATGATAACGGTGTTGACCCAGGGCGGCGAGGCAGGCCGGGCGAGGCACGAGTACCCCACACACTCGCCACATCTTCCAATTCTGTCTCTTCCTCACTCGTATCAGATCTCTGAGTTAGGTCTTTATCTGGATCATAGTCCAGGTCATCATCCAGAGCACCGTCATCATACAAAATATCGCGTATTTCCTCCTCAGAGAGTCGTTTTCCATGACCGCGGGTCACCGTGGAGCGGGAGCTCGTAGAGGATGCGTCAGACATGGTTGCTGCCGTGAAACTGAGGCTCCCCACGGCCGCAGGGCATGCTGGGATTTTTTTTTAAGATGGCGGACGATCACTGGGGCCCCCACCCACCCATACCATACCCGCGTCACCGCGCGCCAGTTTTGAATGGAACGTGAAAAATCAAAATACCTGGAGGCGCGTTGCGCAAACCAGACGCGAGCCTGCAGGCGCGTTGCGCAGTTTAAGGGTTAAGGGGCATCAGTCAAAGTGCATGGAGTTCTGCCTACCGGGGACCACAGACAGAACCTGGCTCCCTTAGAGAGGCATGAGGAGCAATGGCTTACAGAAACTCCCGTGTGGTTGGAAGCATTCTATGTCTGCTATCGACCGGGTCTGTCACCCAGAAAGGTAGGCATCCCAAAACAAACCCCTATACTGGTGAAAATTGCTACCGAAAGCCGAATGAGTGGATAGAACTCCCCAAATGAAAACTAGCAACTTGCATGACATCATCACGTCGCCGCGCTGCCGTCTGCGCACCCCCTCCCTTCCCAGGAGGGGGAAGGGGCAGCCCCAGACCCTCGTGCCGGCGACCCAACCCGCAGTTCTTGGCTGATGTGATTCCTGGCCGGTCGGGTGTCTCTGGCTCAGGTTTTTGTTCTTGGTCAGGCCAGGGGTTCATCATGTGCTGTATCCGGTTGTGGCTCTCCGCCGTTATTTTGCATGCCATGGCTTCGGTGGCCGGGAATGCATCAACCGGTTTCCTTCCTTCCCTGTTCCCGGGCTCAGGTCTCTCAGGTTGTCCGCAAGGTTATTAAGTCTAGACAGCCTGCTGTCTATCCTTGTGCCCATGACGTTCGCAAGTTTGCTGTCTTTGGCAACATGTCTTGGGTTGACATTCGGGCACAGGGTTTTTTGGCGGTAGAACAGGGTCCTGGCTGCTCGCTACCTGGTCAGTGTCCCTGGACCTGGTAGGGCCTGCGTTGCATTGGATCAGCATTTGCAGCCAGTTGTCTCGACTTTACGTTGAAGAGTGAGGACTGACCACCTCCCAGGTAAGTCCCTGTGGTTTTCCTTGTCTTTGGGTAGTTAGCTTTGTGGAGCCGACGGAGCTTTCCCCGGAAAACAGCGTTGAATGTAATGAAACGTCATTTTCTGGGTGAGACCCGGAGGCTCCCTGGCATCCCTCCCTCCCTCCCGGTCGACGGTGTTTTTGTGCGTTTTTGACATACAGCCTAAGAACTACTGGTGCCATCTACCGGGTCTGGCACCAAGAGAGGTAGGCACTCCAAAACAAACCCCTATTCTGGTGAAAATATTGCTACCGAAAGCCGAACGAGTGGACAGAACTCCCCAAACAAAAATTAGCAAACGAGCATGACGTCATAACGTTACCGCGCCGCTGTCTGCGTAACCCTCCCCCAAAAGGTGGAAGGGGGAGCCCCAGACCCATCGTGCTGGCAATTCAACCAGTAGTTCTTAGGCTGAATGTCAACTACACCACTACTATTACACTGGTGTAAAGGTGTTAGAATCCAACACCCCAACCATGCATCCACATCAGCATCTAACCACTTCATGCAACTATGTATAATGTGCTTCACTTGAGAAACTCACAAGTCAAAAGGCTTCAATACCTAACATATATCTGTTGACTGTTATTTACACACTTGAGTTTCCTTCAGATCTACTTCAGTGTTCACTTTTGCCAGTCTTCTCTTACAAATGTGAATGAAACTTTGAACTACATACAGTTGTTCTAGCAGAAAATGGCAGAGATATATTGTGTGTGTGTGTCATATTTGAAGTATTTAATTTATTCCTATCATACATTAATATTACACCCTTTTCTAGTATTTTTACTGTGATCTACTTTGACTCCGTTCACATTGTGTATTGTATATACCCTTGGAGATATGATGCAAGCCTAGCAACCTACTACTACATTAATATCAAATCATTCACCCATTGTCCCACCACTTGACACACACACACACACACACACACACACACACACACACACACACACACACACACACACACACACACACACACACACACACACACACACACACACACACACACACACACACACACACACACACAGGTGTACAGGAATCTGTACACCAGTTGATTGACGGTTGAGAGGCGGGACCAAAGAGCCAGAGCTCAACCCCCGCAAGCACAATTAGGTGAGTACAATTAGGTGAGTACACACACACACACACACACACACACACACACACACACACACACACACACACACACACACACACACACAACGACAGTCTATTTAACACAAGGGGAACACGCACAAGGGGACACAGGTGGAAACTGAGTGCCCAAATGAGCCACAGAGATATTAGAAAGAACTTTTTTAGTGTCAGAGTGGTTGACAAATAGAATGCATTAGGGGGTGATGTGGTGGAGGCTGGCTCCATACACAGTTTCAAGTGTAGATATGATAGAGCCGGATAGGCTCAGGAATCTGTACAGCTGTTGATTGACGGTTGAGAGGCGGGACCAAAGAGCCAGAGCTCAACCCCCGCAAACACAACTAGGTGAGTACAATTAGGTGAGTACACACACACACACACACACACACACACACACACACACACACACACACACACACACACACACACACACACACACACACACACACACACACACCCCCCCCCCCCCTCCCTCCCCGTTATATGACAAAGAGTGCTGGGAAGACGGGACACCACGAGCGTAGCTCTCATCCTGTAACTACACTTAGGTAATTACACACACACACACACACACACACACACACACACACTCTCACTCACTACTTCCTGCATTCAGTCCATTCACAGCACCTACACCAATATCATGCTACTAACTCTTTATGTACTCATTTCTCTTTGGAGACTTCATCCATGTCTTTAAGTTGATTGATTTTATTTCATAATTTACAAATATTTCTTCTCATTTTGTAACTTCCATTTTTTGTAGTTGTACTTTATTTTATTCTTTTAGGTTTATTCAATTTCACTTTACTTTTATACAGGAGTGTTTGATAGAGCTGTTCCAAGAGATGTTTGGGGAAGACTCTGTACCCAAGTTGTTCAAGGGTGAGAAGCTGTATGTGACTGTCAACAATATGAAAGCCAACATTGATCTCGCCTCTTTGGTAAGTATTTTAACTTAACACTTTAACCCAAATATATTTGTTGTCTGTCGCTTCTAGTTTTATCATAACTGAAGAAAGGTTGTTTGTGCAAACTTGCAGATGAATATAAAACATGTCATTACCTTCCATGCACTCATATCAAGTCTGTTTTGTTACTCATATGCCTTCATTGGAGCTTTTCCATATAATGTTTACTTGTGCAGTATTCCCTGTCCACTTTCCACTTGTCCACTTTCCCTTCCTAGGATATTTATTGGTTCACTGCTCATCACTAACAGTCATTCAAATAATTATTAGTTCAAGCACAGTGAAAAGCCCTGTACCTCAGGGCATCGTCTTTGCACCACTGCTTTTCCTTATTCTCTTATCAGATGTAGACACAATTACAAGTCATGGCTTTGTGTCATCTTTTGCTGATGACACAATTAGCATGAAAATTTCTTCTGTAGATGACATTGAGAAACTACAAGCTGATATTAATAGTTTTCAATTGGGCAACAGAAAATAAATGGTTTAACAGTGATAAATTCCAGGTATTAGTAAAAATGAAAACAAAATACAGGGTACAAAACAATCAAATCTGCCTACAGTAGGAAAACATGTAAATGGTTTGGGAATAATTGTCTGACAACCTAATATTTAAGGAGAATAACCATGCAAATACTGTATAGTGTCAGCTATGAAAAAGATACTAGGGCTTATGAGAACGTTCAATCCGGGGATCTCATGACAATGCGCATGCTATTCATATCACTTGTGCTGTCCAGTATGGAGTACTGTTCGATACTCGCTTCCCCCCTCAGGAGGAGAGATTGCTGAAATAGAGGAAATACACAAAAGACACAAGGCACACAGACATGATAAAGGACCTAAACTATTGGGATCGTCTCAAGGCTCTCGAAATGTCCTTTCTAGAAAGGAGACGAGAGTGGTATCAAATAATATATAAAGTATTGTACATGGAATGTATCGGAGGGCCAGATGCCAAATTTGCATAGTAAAGTAACATACTGGAGTGAACGATACGGAAGGAGATGCAGAATAGAGCCAGTGAGGAGTAGAGGTGCCATAGGCACAGAGAACACTATGAACATCAGAGATCCACGGTTGTTCAGTATCCTCCAGCAAGTATAAGAAATATTGCCAGAACAAAAGTGGAATTTTTAAAGGAAAAACTGGACAGTTTTCTGCAAGAAGTGCTGGAGTAACTAGGCTGTAGCAAATATGTGGGCCTGCGGGCCGCTCCAAGCAACGGCCTGTTGGGCCAAGCTCTCAAGTCAAGCCTGGCCTTGGACCAGGCATGGGGGAATAGTAGAACTCTCAAAACCCCCATCCAGGTACAACCCACACTTTCCAAAGCATCATATAGTTTCTTTTTTCCCCACTTGAGTGCCCCCACATCTCATATCCTTAATATCTCCCACTCAGTATCTTTTACTTTATCCATCTGTCTATGTAATTCACTACAATTCTGCTTATTCTCAAATCACTTTCACTTTTCTGATGTCAGTACTGCTCAAAGCACTCCTTCCCTTTCAAGTTTGGAGAGATTTCCAAAACAGAAGGTAGTCCATAGAACATACTGCACACAAAGATCCAGTAATTGAGGTGTTTACTGTAATTGCCTCAGGGACTACTCAGAGTACTCAGAGTACTCAGGGACTGGAAAGTACATGAGAGGTACTGTATCATATAATATACATGAAAGAAATGTGTTGTCAAATCTCAAATATTCACAGTAGAATAGCAACTTGCATGATAGATATGGTTGTAAATGTAGAATAGAGCCTGCAAAGAGTAGAGGTGCCATAGGCACTGAGAATGCAGTCAAAAATTAGAAGCCCAAGGCCTTTCAACCTCCTCCTACTTTGTATAAGAAATATTGCTGGAACAAAGGTGGAAGTTGTCAAGATGCAGTAGACAAATCCTGCAGGTAGTGCTAACTCACCCACTATAACCTGGTTATGTGGGCCTGCAGAGCAAGTTATCACCAAACAAGCTTGTTTCTAGGCTGGGTTTGGAGAGTTGAACAACTCCTTCAACTGACTTCAGGCAAAGAGATGACAACTGTCAAGTTTGAGAGAATTTTTCCCTGTCAAAATCTGTGTTATGTCTGTAAGGTGGTTTGCTTTTTCAGGTGGTCCACCATTTAAGTACACATCTGTTAAAATGCAAAACATTGTTACACTTGATTTGTGAAGATTATTACACTATACACTCAGTTTTGTAAAAATTATTACATTATACAGTATGCTCAAATTCATTGTTTTAAATTTTCGAAACTGTATTTACCGAGCTGGAATTCTGACAATTGTTATGGTTTTGCAGGAGGTGATATGTGAAAATGAGAAACTTCAAAGGATTGTTCAGACGGCAGTAACCAAGCTGTACGAGTCCCTGGCACCAGTGACTGTGGGTGTAAAGTAGAGGGAAACGTGTGAATAAAGGGCAACAATTATATTTATAATGTAATACACCTTGTCCTGTAGTTGGTATTAGATCTTTTTAGATATTATATGTTAAACAATTATCTTTTATATTCACTCTGTTATAAATTAATAATATTTATGCTACATTTATATTAAATTGTGTAGACGAGTTATTAATAAAAATGGGTGAATGTTTCTAAATTTTTTTTTTTAAACTATCAGTTTAATCAGTGAAGGAAGGACTCCGTAAACACTGGCAGTGGTTTGCTGAGAATTTTGTACAAATTATTAGTTTTTATGGTTATCTTAAGGTGAATTAGGGCTTAGTTACTTCAAGATAGTAGTTAGCATAAATGGAGTTAAGTCCAAGTGGGGAAGTAATGTGAGTGGAGGGCCCCGGGAGTGTCCTGGGACCTATTTACCTTATACTGTATATAAATGATACACAGGATTGAACAGCAATATTTGTAAACTTGCAGACAATACAAAAATAGGGCAGGAAGTAAATTTAAAGACAAAACCACTACAAGACTGAAGAGGCTGTCACAATAGATGAGAGATTGGCAGATGCAGTTTAGTGCTGAAAATTATAGGTAGAGAGACGAGGAATTCTCTTGGAAAATGTTGTGTAAGAAATGAGACAATAGATTTCAGTCCTTTATAAAGGAATTGACATCGAGATCAGTGTTTCATAATGAAAGACCAGAGGAAACACTAGATGACATAATAGTCACTGGAAAGGGTTATAAAAAAACCTGGAGAAACTAGATGCAACAACAGTATTAGGGCCTGACTTAATATCACCATGGCTGCTGAAAGAGGCTGCAGATGTACGTTGTCACCTGCTTTCAATAAAATACTTAACAGGAAATCTCCCAGAATTCTTGAAAAAGTCATAGTACCAATACATAAGAGAGTGGGGGGGGGGGCAGACTGGAAGCCTAAACTACAGAACAATCTAACTGTCAAGTAGTTTATATAAAGTGCTGGAGTGAGTAATTAGGCCGAAAATTATGAAGCTCGAGCAGAGGATAAACTTCAAAGCAAAATAACAGCTTGGATTAAGGAGGGGAAAAATAGTGGTTGACAAGCTTGATGGAGTTCTATGACAAGGTTGCTAAAAATACAAGAGGAAACAAAGATTGGAAAGATTGCATTTCTTAGACTGTCAAAAATCACTTGGTACTGTTCATGTGTAAAATTAAAAAAAAAAAAAAGTAAAACGGAAAAAACTGATTGTTTCCTCTACGGTGTGAGAGCTGTGGGTAAAAACCGAAGAGAATAAAAACTTCTAACATTTAATATAACAAATGACTTTAATAACACAAGATAATAGGTAATACTTAATGAAAAAACTTAAACCTTGACTTTAAACAAAATTATGAAGATAAATATAAATACAGGTGAATTTTTACGTTAATCAAAAAAGAGTGCAATGACTTTATACAAAAGCTGAACGCATCTACTGTCTCCTGGGGAGGCGAGAGTAGATATTACTGCTGAGAACACAAAGTGTATACTGATGACTGGATGCCAGCGAGCCCCTTATGTATGGGCCAGAACGTCAGAGATGGCGCGAATCTTGTAGTTAACTACCGCCCTGCAGTTAAACAAGCTGTTAGCGTCTGGTCGAGTGGCATCTGGGCCCCTGCCCAGACAACAGGTGTCTTGGGTACTATAAGGTGGAGGGAGGAGGGGGTCTGTCTAGACACCCAATAAGTCTTGAGCACGTATTATTGTCGTTGATGTTAAAGCATACAGATATGTTGGTGAATAGGTGGTACAGGAACAGGCCGGCCCACTGCTAGGCTGGGGATTACCGTAACAAATGAAAGACTGGTGTGCAGGATGGAGAAACAAGTTGAGATAATTGGGAAGGCACTGCATTAGGTAAAGGAATACATGAAAGACAAGAAAAGACCTCCAGTGAGGTTTCCAGCTGGAGGAATGTTGTAACAAGTGGGGTTACCCAAGGCTCGGGTCCAGGTAAGCTAATAATCTACCCAAGAGGAGCTCCTACATGTCAATGTTTGAGGATGATGCAAAGCTAATGAGGGATGTAGAAACGTGACTGCAGAAGGTTACAGGAAGATCTTGATAAACTTCAGGCGTAGGCAAACAAATGCTGGAGTTCAATCCCAATAAGTTTACGGTAATGAAGTAGAGGAAGGAAGAAGGTGGCTAAACCATAAATGGAAGGCAACTACAGAAATCAAAAATAGGAAGAGACTTGGGAGTGGATATTATTTCAACACTAACACCAGAGGAACAGAGTGTGACAGCAGCAGCATAAGGGATGCTGGCGAACATGAGAACGTTTAGAAATGTACGTCAAGACTTTCTTGGCACTCTACACAGCTTTTGTTAGAACAATATAGAATATGCAGCACCTGCCTAGAATCCATTTTTTGGAAAGCATAAAACTAAAATTGAAATAGTACAGGTTTGCAAAAATATTAGTGCCAGAGATAAGAGGGTTGAGCCGAAGGATAGACTGAGGGAACTCAACTCACAAAAATGAAAAACAGAAGAAACGTATGATCACAGCATACAAAATACTGAGGGGGAATAGACAAGGTAGACAAGGGCAGCCTCTAAATTGGGAGAAAGTAAGAAGGTGACACAAGTGGAAGCTGAAAACACTAAGGAGTCGAAGAAAAATATAAGGTACCGGTGGTCCACAAGTGGAATGCACCGAGGGAAGTAGTAGTCGGTGATAGTTGCGATGGAGCCTGTGTGTGTGTGTGTTTCGGGGTTGTCATGACCTCCAAGTAATGCTCGTGGTGTAGCCCTCCCTCCCTCCCTCCCTGTAGTTGGTACTCTTGGCCTCAAGCAAATAACTTTATTAGGTTCTAATAAGTGTGTGTGTTTGGTATGGTGGAGGAACAGTGTGGTGGGGGTGGTGGGGGAGCCAGTGTGTGGTGGGGGTGGTGGAGGAGCCAGTGTGTGGTAGGGGTGGTGGAGGAGACAGTGTGTGTGGTGGGGGTGGTGGAGGAGCCAGTGTGGTGGTGGGGTGGTGGAGGAGCCAGTGTGTGGTGGAGGTGGTGGAGGAGTCAGTGTGGTGGGGGTGGTGGAGCCAGTGTGGGGTGGGGGTGGTGGAGGAGCCAGTGTGTGGTGGGGGTGGTGGAGGAGCCAGTGTGGGGGGTGGGGGAGCCAGTGGTGGAGGAGCCAGTGTGTGGTGGGGGTGGTGGAGGAGCCAGTGTGTGGGGGGGGTGGTGGAGGAGCCAGTGTGGTGGGGGTGGTGGAGGAGCCAGTGTGTGGTGGGGGTGGTGGAGGAGCCAGTGTGTGGTGGGGGTGGTGGAGGAGCCAGTGTGTGGTGGGGGTGGTGGAGGAGCCAGTGTGTGGTGGGGGTGGTGGAGGAGCCAGTGTGGTGGGGGTGGTGGAGGAGCCAGTGTGGTGGGGGTGGTGGAGGAGCCAGTGTGTGGTGGGGGTGGTGGAGGAGCCAGTGTGTGGTGGGGGTGGTGGAGGAGCCAGTGTGTGGTGGGGGTGGTGGAGGAGCCAGTGTGTGGTGGGGGTGGTGGAGGAGCCAGTGTGTGGTGGGGGTGGTGGAGGAGCCAGTGTGTGGTGGGGGTGGTGGAGGAGCCAGTGTGTGGTGGGGGTGGTGAAGGAGCCAGTGTGTGGTGGGGGTGGTGGAGGAGCCAGTGTGTGGTGGGGGTGGTGGAGGAGCCAGTGTGTGGTGGGGGTGGTGGAGGAGCCAGTGTGTGGTGGGGGTGGTGGAGGAGCCAGTGTGTGGGGGGTGGGGGTGGTGGAGGAGCCAGTGTGGTGGGGGTGGTGGAGGAGCCAGTGTGTGGTGGGGGTGGTGGAGGAGCCAGTGTGTGGTGGTGGTGGTGGAGGAGCCAGTGTGTGGTGGGGGTGGTGGAGGAGCCAGTGTGGTGGGGGGGTGGTGGAGGAGCCAGTGTGTGGGGGTGGTGGAGGAGCCAGTGTGGTGGAGGAGCCAGTGTGTGGTGGGGGTGGTGGAGGAGCCAGTGTGTGGTGGGGGTGGTGGAGGAGCCAGTGTGTGGTGGGGGTGGTGGCGGAGCCAGTGTGTGGTGGGGGTGGTGGAGGAGCCAGTGTGTGGTGGGGGTGGTGGAGGAGCCAGTGTGTGGTGGGGGTGGTGGAGGAGCCAGTGTGTGGTGGGGGTGGTGGAGGAGCCAGTGTGTGGTGGGGGTGGTGGAGGAGGTGTGTGGGGGTGGTGGGTGGGGGTGGTGGAGGAGCCAGTGTGTGGTGGGGGTGGTGGAGGAGCCAGTGTGTGGTGGGGGTGGTGGAGGAGCCAGTGTGTGGTGGGGGTGGTGGAGGAGCAGTGTGTGGTGGGGGTGGTGGAGGAGCCAGTGTGTGGTGGGGGTGGTGGAGGAGCCAGTGTGTGGTGGGGGTGGTGGAGGAGCCAGAGTGGTGGGGGTGGTGGAGGAGCCAGTGTGTGGTGGGGGTGGTGGAGGAGCCAGTGTGTGGTGGGGGTGGTGGAGGAGCCAGTGTGGTGGGGATGGTGAAGGAGCCAGTGTGGTGGGGATGGTGAAGGAGCCAGTGTGGTGGGGGTGGTAGAGGAGCCAGTGTGGTGGGGGTGGTGGAGGAGCCAGTGTGGTGGGGGTGGTGGAGGAGCCAGTGTGGGGAGGGGGTGGTGGAGGAGCCAGTGTGTGGTGGGGGGTGGAGGAGCCAGTGGTGGGGGTGGTGGAGGAGCCAGTGTGGTGGGGGTGGTGGAGGAGCCAGTGTGGTGGGGGTGGTGGAGGAGCCAGTGTGGTGGGGGTGGTGGAGGAGCCAGTGTGTGTGGGGGTGGTGGAGGAGCCAGTGTGTGGTGGGGTGGTGGGTGTGGTGGGGGTGGAGGAGCCAGTGTGTGGTGGGGGTGGTGGAGGAGCAGTGTGGTGGGGGTGGTGGAGGAGCCAGTGTGGTGGGGGTGGTGGAGGAGCCAGTGTGGTGGGGGTGGTGGAGGAGCAGTGTGGTGGGGGTGGTGGAGGAGCCAGTGTGTGGTGGGGGTGGTGGAGGAGCCAGTGTGTGGTGGAGACGACCTGGGCGAGGAGGAGGAGGGGGAGCCACGACTATGGTGTTACCAAATAACTGGACACAAGTGGCCAAGACAGCCATCTGTTGATGGTGTGATCTCTGGAGCATTTCGAGGGCAGTTTTAGCCAAGTCACTGTTGAAGGCGAGCCACGTCACTCCTCCAGGCGGGCCATAGTGTGTTGGAACGTTAAGTACCTGTAAGTCATCCTCACGCACCCACAGCT